GCGAACAAAACGTCCCCGAACCACATGATGAGATCTCGAACAGCTTACCACTTTCCAGCAATCTGCAGAGTGCCATGGAAACTTAATATCCATGTCGACGTTGAACTGCATGGAATAGGTCAGATCTCATACTATAATGTCTTTGAGAGCACCCCTTGTAGGCCATCCCATTACAAATGGTGTTTCTCTGGGAGGCTGGCTCGTCTCCTCACCATTGCCATTCGTGACGAGCGAAAAGACGACCTATCAATTGTGTCGGGACCTAGATCCAAATAAGTTTCAAACTCTGGAATAACAATGGGGGAAGAAACCGAGAGAAGCTGCGCAAGTTTCGTTCGGTTCTTTCACAGGCGCGCGCACGGGTACTGCAACCACGGAAGCAAAAGCTTAGTCTCGAACCAACGGCGCCGGGGAGATCTGGGAGATCTAAAGTGAAACAACGAAAGTCAACGAAAGTCTGGTCCTAGGTAACCCTCCCCACTTTCACCAGTGTCTAGTCAGTGAGTCAGAAGAGTTTGGCCGGGAAGAGATCTTGGCTTCTCGGGAGCTGGGCGGGCTGGGAGTTGAAGAGTTGAGCCAAGAGAGTTCGGAAAGCATGCGCTAACAACACCATTCTGAGACAACACCCCGGTGTCTCTTCTTTTTCTTTTTGTTCTGGAGAGTATTCTGAGTTCTTCTCGAAGCAAGTCCACTCTTGTCAATCATCACCGCTTATCAGCAGCGAAAACAAAGAGGAACTGAATGCATAATGTGGTTTACGATACCTTCAAACAGAGAAACAAACAATGGAAACAATGGTGGTTGTCAACCAACCCAGTTCACCCCAAGCATTCCAGATATGACAACAGACTTTGCAAACCCTCACCCACATGCAGTCTTTTCCGATTCCCTGGCCAATTCCCAGGCACACACAAAATAAGCATTCCAAGACTCCAAGAACACCGCAATGAATCCGAACCATATTCTCTCCAAACGGAACCCCAACTAAGAAAACGGTCACCTTCCGTTTCGCTTAACCATCCCCCCCGACCAGGTCCCCGGCCCTCCGGCACTCTGACCCCCCTGCCACCCCACCAACCGCCCGTCATTTTCAACCTCCAAAACACTAACACCAAAAAAAGCATAGCGTGACCAAAAATGATCAAGGTTACTCCCAGCAGCCTTCTGCAATCCCCTTTCATGGTGCAAATTCGGGGGGGAATTTCTCGACAATTTAGCGTTCCTGCAAGTGTTGAAGCCAATCGGTGGTTCTCATTTTCCCTTGTAGACCAGCAGCTGGATACCTCCCGTCCGTCGAGGTCTTGAGGTTTGCAAATACCCCCCCGAGCTCCTACTCGGAAACCTCCCCAGTCTTAGTAGCATTTCCTAGTGCTGTGGGTAGTGTACCTAGACTAGGTGAAATGCTAAGTGCTTCGTTTACTGACAGGCCACGTCAACATTAGGTAACCTCAACAAGTCGGGTATCATCTTGCGAGGCGCGCTAAAAAATGTGAAAATGTCAAATTTACAACCGTTGACGGTTCACGGGATAGAATTTGGGGTTTGTTTTTAGGGACTGCGGGATCTCATGACTCGTGTATGACTCCATTTCCAGGGCAGTTTATGTATGTGCGAGCCCCCCGGATCTTCAATGTTTTCCACTTTGCGCGTTTCTTTTTGCGGAGTTTTCTGGGGAAAAGTGGAAAACATTAAAAAGGTGGGAATCATGATTCATGCCATCACGGCAGGTGATATACCAGAGTTATTGGGGGGTTCCCGGTAGGTATGTATTGCTTGACATTTGCTTACACCACATGCAACCAACCACGGGGATAACAATAACATAGGTTCTATGGGAAAGGGATATTAGTGGAGGAGGTCCGGTGACAAAGTTTGGTTTATAAGCGGAGTTTTAGGTTCTCGGGGATAATGTCCGATGGTTGACACTAACTAGGTACCTACCCTAGGTACCTACACTACAACTCACCAGATGGGACCCCCTTGAACCTTCTCGAGCAGCGGCCGGCCGAAACTCGAACAACACTCCGTCTCTCTCGGAAATAAACAAGGGAAAGCTACCCAAGTACCTAGGTATTTCCGCTTGGGGTCCGTCTGGATGTTCGGCAGTCTGGGCCCCTCGTGCGATTATACCAAGTCGGGTCAGGATCTGTCTCTGGTAAAGATAGAACACAGGTCCAAGGACCAGGTTCCCCTGATCGAAGCTTTAACCTAGCTTTTTTACTGCCTTACCGCTACGCAAAGAACACTAACTGCCGGATCTGCGTCAGCTCGAAAAATTCCCCTGAATTCAAGGTGATTCATCATACAACCTATGGTACTGATTCCTACCTATTTGTGCTTCAGCTCCTTCAGGTGAAAATTGAACAAGACACCCGAAACGAGCTTAGGCTGCTTGCTTCTCTTTTCCAGTCTTCAATCCCGATATATCCCCGAGTTCAATATCAAGATACAATAAGACTCAAGAAGGTAGATGAATATGAGATATCATAAACCCCCAGTAAGCTGTTGGCAGCGACTAAGAAAAAAGCAATAAACGATCTACCAGCAGTTGTGCACATGCACAACACTTTCTTCAGGGGGGGCATCATCCGCGCCGGCGTCGGTTCCAACCCCTTCCTTCTCGCTAAAACACTTACCCGTCCGTTCGTTCGTCTTGGTCTTCTGGAGAACCATTGCACAAATGCATGACATTTCTCCGGCACCACCATCCCATCTCATCCCCCACCCAGGTACGTAGGTCCCTAAATCCCATTTTATATGTAGCTAGCTAACCTACCAGCTAGGTACATATTAGTCCAGGGGAAATGTCTCCTCCTCGCTTACGCGTTTAGATCGGCCCGTGGATATATCGGCACACCCATGTCTAGGTACCGTATGTAGTATACTCACTTCGTGAAAGAAATACCAAAGGAGCTAGAGGTATTTAGATAGGAAGATGAGGAAGAATCCCATTGGACTGATATTCATATGCAGCTAATCCCGTCGTGCATGTCCAAATGCTTCTTTCTCTCGACCAAAAACTGTCCAGTTGAGAAGCAGTACTGCATCTGGTGTAACTGTGTTAACAATACCACCTTACCTCAAGCTTTTACCACTAGAGGAGACAAAGATGTTGCAGTTTCAGTGCCCCTGACCCAAGCATCTGGATCTTCTCTCGCATGATCCCAGCATCGTAGCAGCAGCAGTCACGACGTAATACTGTAGTAGTAGTAGTGTAAATATTACAGTAAGAACCCCTGCTTTTGCAACTAATGCGGGCAGCCCGGATTTTTTGCAAAAGCAGGGGTTTTGCAAAAGGGAGAGCAGAAGCACAGACCAGGTAAGGGCCTTCTGGCCACTGAATTATGGTCAACGGTACAGAAAACTGGGTCTCCTGAACCGGCCGGACCCCGGTATACAGGTATAAGAGTGCCCGCCCCACCAAATTCGACCCCTGCTTTTGCAAATTTGGGCTGTCCGTATTGCAAATTGCAGGTTGCAGGAATTACCACCAGAGGGAATGCAGGCAGACAAAATCCTTTGCAAAAGAGGGGATTTTGCAATAGAAGGGGGGTTGCAAAAGCAGGGATCTTTACTGTATCTCGGAAATATGCACTTACTTGTCTCTATCCACTCCTGTTCAGTCATTCCAGACTTTCACATCTCGGCCGACCCTACCCAGCACACCTAGGTATCCTCCCAGTCAAGCCCAGGAGGCCAGGAGGCCCACCAGCTGGGTACTTATGATCCTTGGTACACACACCTAGAACTAAATGGAAAATCCCTCCCATAAACGGAAGGCAGCATTAGTTCTCAGATTTTTTTTCCCTACCCAGGGGTACTCTCGCCTACACCTAGAAGTGTACACTAGTTCAAGTCACTAGTTCAAGTCACCATGTCACTGACGGGAATCTGTACGACATCCCCTCGTGTAACGGCACCCTGACACCTACCTACCTACCTTACCTACCTACCTACCTGTTCACATTCACAGGCCTCAACCTAGGTACCAAACCTACCTAATCTAATCTCACCTAACCGCCTGTCAACCCTCCACCTGTCAGACATGTATCCCCATCCCGTCACATCAGTCCCCTCAGGGTATTCACTGAAGCCTGTGTTCTTCGGAAAACGGTACACACACGGGAGACTAAGACACTTGCACTTCCTTACACTTCCTTACACTTGCACAAAAAGACAGCACCTCGATATCTACTGGACAGGGTGGCAGGCACGAAGAGTAGGTAGGTATGTGAATATTCAGGAAGAGGGAGGTGCTTCGGCACCAGTACCTTTAGACTAGGCTGGACAGACAATGAACAATAGACACTGGCAAACATCACTACTCTGCGGAAAGGCAATGAACACACACTACTAATCGTTCTGTAGTAAGCAACTCAATCAATCTTTTCCTTCCTGAGTACTGTACTTCTACACAGAACAGAACAGACCGGACCCCTTGTAGCACTGGCACATATGTAGAACGTAACACGATGACGTTACGTTGGACAGATTGGACAGAGAGATGTAAACTGCAACGGTAAGGAAAGCGGGCGAAAGCAAGGGACGCACATAGGTAATAAAGACGGGAGTTCCCCCTTTTTGTGTAACCAGCCAGTTGCGGTACCTCGAACCAGTCAGTCCCCTGATATGCGAAATAGGTAGCGTAGCATCGCATATACCTCTAATCTACCTAGAAATGACCAGATATCAGACACGTCCATACGTAGGTAGGTGAGTATCCCGAGAAACATCAAGCTTCATTCTGTGTGAAACTGGGTATCAAGGCACAAAAACACCAAGGACGACACTGCAACGACGAAGAAGAAACGTTCCTGACAGAATGAATCGTGAACATTTATATACAAAGAAAACTAATACCGCCATTATGTCTGTCATTATAGACCATAAACCATAAACCATAAAGCACATGATCGTTTGCCTTTGGTGAATAAATACCCACAAGTGTGGGTGGAAAATACAAAGAAAAAAAGAAACATAATTCTCAATGACCACCCATATTACTTCATGTCTTTGGATGGAATACTGTCGGTTCCACCCCCGTACGAGGTTCTGCGGCTCCCACATGCCGCCAACTCTTCCGTGCTCTCCGTCTCTGGACACGGATGGGCCGCCCGACCACCCATCTTATGGAATGGATTAGCCTTGCCACTGGCAGCTTGTCCATTGCCTGCCTTTGAGGAGCTGCGGTGATGACCACCACCTTCTCGACGCTGGCTGTCTCCGGAATCCGTGTCCCTTGAGAACCACCCCTTCACATCTTCGCCAAAGAAACCCTGGCATGCCTTCCAAGAAGTGACTGCGTAGATAAGGGCATTCCAGAACCCTTGCAACGGCAAGACACCAGCACCCATATACTCCAAGACCTTCACTGTTTGGTTATGGTGAACCACCGAGTAGACACGATTGCAACTCGAGGGGATCCATGTGACCAACAATGCCGTGAAGAAGAACAGGGAACATTTGGAATAATGCCACATTGCGCTGTTATGTTTATTCTTTGTTCGCGTATTATTTGCTGATCCAGACACGCCCCCAGTCACAGTGGTGGTGGTAATGCGTGCCAAGTTGTCGCCGTTGGTGGTTTCTGGTACCTTCTGATTATCTGCCGAAATAGTAACCGAGTAGTTAGGATTTGCCCTAGAGGCTGCCGAGTTATCGGAGTGTTCTTGAGCGCCGTTGTTCCTTTCCAGGTCCACGAGTCCGATGGCGTTCCCAGTGGCTATCTCGTGAGTGATATAGACCTCGGTAACCTTGCGAGAGACCAGAGTATCGTCAACAGGGCCGCCCGCAAGAGAACTGGTGATGTTGAACTTCTTGATCTGTTTGTGGTTTCTGTAGATGTCTCGCCCGGCTCGGATGTAGATGAAGAACGTGAAACCAATGGAAACCCTGCATCGCCAAAGGTTAGAGTGCTTGTCGTCACTCAGAGAGTGTGCTGTGACTTACCAGACAGGTCCATAGAAGGTTGCGATACGAAAAATATCCCACTTTGGACTGACCCAGCACCACAGGGTCGCATTCCCGTACATCTTGCCCTTTTTAGGTGACTCGATGAAGCAGAACGCCAAAGCGACGACGAATGTCAGGCCGTAGCAGCCTAGGAAGTACCACTTCTCCATTGCCCTCAGCTTCTGGGCGTCGTACTGGCACTCAAAGATCAAGTAGACGTTGATGGCCATCGCCAACACCCAGAACGCGTCCGCCGGCATGAACCTGTGAGGGGGGACTCTATTAGCAAGCTATCAAATATTTGAATGGCACGGTCAACTTACATCTGGATCAGGAACCCCTGCAGCTGACAGCCCGCTCCTGTTGGGTTCGTGACATAATCTCGTCCCATCAGCGTTGCAACGTTGGTGGCAAGGTTGCCAAAGGTAGCGAAGAAGGCCAAGCGGTTGATCGGTTTCTGAAACCTCTCGGAGAGGCAGAAGGTGGTGATGATGAAGACACAGCCGATCACAGAGGGAATCGAGCAGATACGTTCAATCATGTTGATGGTGTCGTGAAGACCAGGGGACTGTGCGGCCCAGTCGGTGTTGTCGTCGCTCGCCATGGCGTTCGACATGGTGGTGGATGGTGCGCAACGGCGCAGATGATTTCTGAAAATTCCGAGCAAGTCGTCAAGAAGTTGTTGATTATATCGGCGTTAACAAGAATAGCGGTTGCGTGTTGTAATACGAATCCTGGTAATCAACGACGGGTTCGAGGTGAACGGAAGGAAGGACGATTCCAGCAGTATTGCCTCCGGGGGAAATTCGGAGACGGGGATTCAGGGAGCGAAACCTTTGATCCAGGATGAGGCGGGAAAGGAGGGGAAGTAGAAGAAGGCCCAAGAAAAATATCAGACGAAAAGGAGGGGGAGGGTTCTCCCCGCCAGCCCCGAGGTTGGGATTGTGCGCCCGTATGAAGCTCTCGTCCTTGTTGTCCTTCACTCGTAACTCAGATCCGTAGCAATTCCCAGAGATTGGTATGTTTCGAAAGGGTCCCAAACCCGTTGGTGTTTCGACGTGGCGCTGGTTGTCGATGTGTATATATATGGTTGTCGTCAAAATCAAGGCCAAGAGGATAGCGTGAGAGAGAGAGGGAAGTGCTTTATGTCAAAGATCGAGAATCAACAAGGGTAGCTCGAGTATTTCCTTGTTGATTTTGTCTCGGTAGGTACCTGGTCTCAGTCCCCTGAGAACTTGAAGGCCTGGAAGGACTGGGGTCCAGGTAAGACACCAGGTATTTCGGGCAAGGTTGTTGACGACTACCTCGCAAGGTCGAACAAGCTAGTCGAGCTAGTCAAGATGGACAAGGAAGGAACAAGGTAGGCCGGTAAAGAAAACTGAAGTGATCAACAGTCCGTGTGCTTCATGTGCACAGAATCGATGGCTGCTCCTTCCCTCGTTGGAATTGATGAGTGTTGGTTGACCTTCCTTCCTTCCTTCCTTCCTTGTGCGGCAACAGAAGGCTTGTTCTTCTTGTGTTGAATCTTGCGTCCAGACCAAGGGGAATAGAGTCGGAGGATGAAATCACAGAAGCCGACATATGCCAACTGCGGAATAATTTTGAAGATGAGTGACCCCAGCCGACTCTACATGAAAACAAAAAAAAAAAAAAAAAGATGATGAGAAGGCCCGTGAGGTTTCTTCCTAGAGTTTCTATGTGGCAACGAACAAAATCATGATCATTGTCAGTGAGCCCGCTCGGACTTGAATCTTTTTTCAAGGAAGATCTCAGTAACGGATCTCCAGCCTCCTCCGCGAATCAATTTGGTCAGCGAAGAAGCAAGAGGGCTAGGGAGGTGAGAGAAATGAAGTGTGGGTGATCTTCGAGGTAGTTGACGCGGGGTATCGAACCGACCCAGACGACGTTTGACGAACCGGCTTCCCAGCAGGCCGCGTTGCAGGGGTCTCAAGTCATCCCCAAATCTGTTTCAAAGACGGATCGCCGGTTACATAAAGGTACGAAAGATCCCACTTGGGAATAGCTGCACTATTTCCCATCTCCAGGGAATGACCGAATGCAACGTCGGCGGTCCCAAATCCCAGTCACTGCAGTGTGTACGAGGGATTCCGTTGTGTAGTGTTCAATTCCGCTGTCAACGAAACACCCATGGCAATGGGTGCCCCTGGTCGTCGAAATAAGCCCTAGAGTTAGTAGAGTAGTAGCCTTAGTGGTAGAGCAGCAATTGCTCGTATCAAAGCCAAGAGCCCGGGGCAGAAGAATCTTAAAGAAAACGATACCATTGATGCCGCTCATCATTTCACCAGGGGAGTGGAGAATTTCGAAACCAGCTTGACAGGCAACGACTGGATGCGCCAAGCAGAAGGTCGCCTGCCAAGTCCGCAAGTCGGCCCCGGTCTTGGCTTAGAAGCAACAGCGGGCGGACAATGAACCCTCGCCCGGGCGCCCGGGGTCCCCGATAGTTTGGTTCCGGGAGCCCAAGTTCACGGACAATGTCAACGTTCAACGTTGCCGTTAACCGTCTGTGCGTGTGAAGGCGGCGGCGATCATCTCTCCAAACGCCGGAGGCTTCTAGTACAAATGAGTCGAATTGCACCGTGGTATAGCACTCGCATACCTAGGAGATGATTCCGTGCGCCGGGCTAACGGTCATGGGATATAGGATCCCCCCTTCCCGGGAAGATCGTGGTATCACGACAAGGTATAGTGTACACATCAGTCCTGGAAAGTTTGTTAGTCTCTTACTCGCCCCACACATTCTCACAGGGCATTAATAGTGTACTTACAGCGGGCTGTTACATCCCCCGTCTCCCCTGCTTAAAACCCCTGTCTGTAGGTACCAAGCTAACGAACTTACCAGGACTGATGTGTACAGTTGGGTGGCCCGATCATTAGCTTCCCCAGAAGATATCATGACAATTACCCTTACCTATTAACGTGACTGTGAAAACAGGAAAAGAGTCCGCAATGGTGGGCGGAAAGGTCATTGTTCCGCGTTCGTTCGTCTGTTCGTTCAATCGTGAGAGCTCGTTCGCGCGCGGAGTGCTGGTCAGCTGTCATCTATCTTAATCCTCGTCGGCCGTGAACATGATTTGTGCCAGCCTCTCCCCTGGGATGATTCCATGCACCCTTCATCCTTGAAATGATTCCCAGTCGATGTTGTTGGCTGGAGGCGGTTTTCGCAGCTGAGCCGGACGAAGATCCAGCCATCTGCAAATCGACGCATGGATTAAAGAGGAACATATTTGAGTGCATCGTCGATGTCTGAACCACTCACCTAGAACTGAAAGAAGTGAACTGAACCACTCACTGCAGTGCACTCAGAATTGCCGCCCGTTTCTCACCGTTTTCTTCCGTTTTCTCCCCCCGCCTCCTGACCCACCCTGTCAATCCGTCGCTCCACAATTCCACCGTAAACCCTTGCCGTGAGTGGACTCTACCCCGGTTTCCACTTTTACTCTACTCTACTAGCGTCACCGGCTTCTCTTCACCTGCATGGCACCAGTCTCCATCCAACCTCGCTCAGCTGGGCGCTCATCATCTTCTTCCTCTTCTCGGACCTTTTCATCCAACTGAACTTCGAACCTCGTTCCCCGTCACAAGGAGCTCCCCGTCAAGAAGCTCAAGCTCGAGCTGAGAGTAACCTAGGCTAGTCTCCAGAGGGTTTCAGAGGGATTACGTACATACATAACATGTCTTGGCTGTCGGGTACGTCTTTCGGCATTTATCAACTTGACCATTTCCCCTTAGTTTTGTTGGTTCAGTCAGTCATGACTCCAGGTCTCGTGCATCATTTTAGGTTTCTCGAATCTCTCTTGGCGAAATTATCCCGTTCAATCTACGATATCCGAAGGCGAACAAGATTGTACTTTATGCGGCAAACCTCTTCCGTGGAAGCCCCTGGTGACCAACTGTGGGCGATTTTGGTGGTGGGCGGTTCAACAGGGGAGGCTTCAGTCCCGACATCATCATCACGGTATCAAGTCGCAAGCGCTTGACAATTTGCATATGCGATTCATCGGACCTGTGTCTTTGGTCCAGTTGAGCTTGCTCGGACGAAGGAGCGCTCTTTGTTCGGCATCAACAAACGCCTCTCGATGACAGCCGGGACGACAGCCGAATGTAAAACATGAACGCCACAGCTACGCCATCCCCAGACGCCGCTCCCGCAAAGAAGGAAAAGAAACTCTCCACGTTTCGCAGCCGGCAATTTCCATGAGATCGCAGGGCGCCCATGTCGTTGCTTGAAGTACAGTACAAAACTTGGTGGTTTACATGATCTTCCCTTCCTTGCGAGCGGCAGTTGCCGTCTTGACATCTTTCTTTAATCACAGAAGTACCCCATATGAGCAAAAAAAGCAAGATGATCCTCCAACTCCATTTCATGCGTCATATGCCAAATCCCCCAGACGCTTTCAAAGCCAAGTAGTACTCCCCCGCCATCCCTGAAAAAACATGACCAGTACATCTCTCTCCGACCTTCGAGTGATTGTCAGCTGTAAGAAGACATAATTCCCTGCTGCTCAACTCAAATCACTCAGCTGTGCGTGAGTGCTTATCATCCATTGTTGACGCAGAAGCCACCGCAGATCTGGGGTGGGAAGTGCGGCGTTCCATCATCTCAAACTCCTGCACAGCAACTTCTTCGGTTGTCTGGTCACGGTTCTTTTGTAGCTTGGCCATGATATACTTGTAGGCTCGATAAATCCATGGCTTCCGACCAACCGGATTGATGGTCCAGTACTGCTTGAGATGGTAATCATGGGGCTCGACTCCGGTAAGGGTTGAGATAATCCAGATCAAGCCGTTTACGATAATGTACGTGAAAAGACCCCTTTCGAGAGCGTGTCAGCTTTGTTAACGGGCGTCCATGGGGCTCAGGGGACTCACGCAATGAGGCCATATGCGACACTGTAACTGAAAGGGATAAACATGATCGTGACAAAGGAGGGAATGGCATCTCCAGCATAATTCCAGTTGATACTGTAAATTTGCCGCACCATCAGGAAACCGATCTACCCCATAGCCGTCAGTTAGGATAAAACATCAAGAAGACAGAACGTGTTCTCACCAGGATCAAGGCCGGTCCAGTCGCCCATGGCGGGATGCCGGAAAAGAAAGGCGCAAAGAACACCGCGGCCAGGAAGCATAATCCAGTCACAATTGCCGCTATTCCAGTGCGGCCACCCGACTGGGCTCCAGCGCCACTTTCAACAAAAACCGTAACAGGAGATGATCCCAGAAGGGCTCCCATGGAGATACAGAAAGCGTTGGTGCAATATGCGATGGTGGAGCCGGGGAAGTCGGGGTCAGGCCCCTGGAGTCTGTAGGTGTATCTCGCCAGTCCCTGAAGCGTTGCGGTGCAGTCAATCATGTCAACGTAGAGCATAGTTAGGAGAGCAACGACGAAGTTGCCCTGATGCGGACCGAAGTCAAATCGCAACTGAGACATGTCAAATCCCGTCTTGCGCACTCCGACCATGCTGGAGAAGTAATCCCATTTGTTCTGACCAACAGAATTGTAAGGGAAAAAGGTCACGGATGTCGAGCGCCTTAATTGTGCGATGGTCAGTCGTGATCTTGATTTGGTGGAGCTGGAAGAACTTACGGGATAGA